GAAAGCATTAAGTTAGTGTTATGGTATATTTCATGTGATATTACACAAAATATTGTACCAGTTTTCTGCAGCTGTCAACTCCCACATTACTGAAGCTTTATATAAAACCACTCCAAAGTGATTGCCACTTTCAAATATTTTAGCAAGTAATTAATGGAACTGTCAACACTAAGTACTAAAGTATTCTGTCATTGTGTAACATGGGCTTTGCTTCTCTCTGTTTCAGCTACAGACAGTAATTTCCACTGGATTCTACCAAATCTTACAAATGGCACTGTCTCCAACCTTTGCACTTCTAATACTATGGCTTACAGAGCCACAAAATCACAAGGATTTAGTCACTATTTTACTATGTTGTGCTTTTTGGTGATAGCACTAAAATAGGCCACAGCCATACAGCTGGTGGTAGTTAATTAACATCAAGTTCTGTCAGCTCAGAGCTTTCTGTCGAGGAAGACTTAGCCACTGGTGTGTTCTGCTTTTTATAGAGCTTGTCCATCTGCCTTGGATGTGGCTGGCATTTGTCTAAGCAGGGTGATCCTGCAGCTACACACCTCTCTAGGACATGGGAGAGTGGAAGGGGAGTTGTTAGTGATGACTTTGTGACAATTGTCATGGTCAACCCAAGACACAAGGCTATCCCACTGCCACAGTGATTCACAGGTTTTATGTGGCAATGGGCATAGCCATCATCACATAAATATTGTCCAAGATTTCTCAGATGACTAACATGATAAACAAAATTCAGCAACCCCACCAGCACAAACATAAGTGAACATTCAAAGGGTGACAATTTAAAAACTGGAAAATGTTGAAGCTTGGCACTCTACCTTTCATTCAGTTAGTTATACCCTGTTCATTTCACCCTTGCCTCCCGCCAGTGCTGGGCTCCCAAGTGCTTCCCCAGTCCTTTGAGATATTGTGCATGCTCAGTCACCTCTGCCTTCCACTCAGATCTCGATCACCACTTACTTTTTAAAGATTTAATTTTTTATTATGTATAGTGTTCTGCCTGTTTGTTACCCTGAACACTAGAAAAGGACACCAGATCTCATTATAGAAGGATGTGAGCCACCATGTGGTTGCTAGGAATTGAACTAAAGACCTGTGGAAAAGAGTACACAGTTCTGTTAACCTCTGAGCTACATCTCCAGTCCCTTCCTCTACTACTTTCATTTTGACAGAAGTCATATGAGAGTTCTGTGACTGTGGTCCTTTAAGTGGACATTTAGCTCCCCTCCTCTTTCTCCCAAGTCATGCTATAGCACCCTATGGTGATGTGCCCAACCTCAGTCTCAGTGGAGGCCTGGAGATATACCTCCATCCCTACTTCGCTCCTTGGTCTTTGACGTAATGGTTATGACTGTGCATTTAAAGGTTGCAAAGAAATAACTGCAAATGTACGAATTCTTTCAGTACTTAAAACATTAATCATCAGTCATTTTGAAAGGTATAAGATCTGCATAGTGGCTCTTATTGTATCTCATGAGATTGTGTCACTGTAGACTGGAGGGTAAAGCAGTAGATGAGACTGTAAGAAGATGCAGGGATCAGGTCGAGATACCTTCCCTGGTTGAGAGTCATTAAAAGAATGGATGCCACAGTGCTATATACAGTGAACAAATTCTACCTATAATAAATACCTACTCATATGGTTTCTATTATTTCAAATTCAATTAGCAAGTGTTAATTTACTGAGAGTGTCCCCAAGCTTCAGAAGGTAATACAGGCAACTTAAAGGATACCTTGACACCATAGACAAACCAGATCTGCCATGTCCAGATTCTTGACCTACAACACCATAAGGCAATGAATGGGTGAGCTCCAAACTATTGACCGTGTGGTACATTTCACACAGGGAAACAGAAACTATTGTGCACTTCAAAAAAATGTGTCATATAATTAATCCTTGCAGTTATCTTTATATTTCCAATTTTTGATCTTTATAAAATCAACTTTTATATGTAAGCATGGGTAATTGTTCAGAAAAATCCTCATGGAACGGAGAGTAAGGAGATGATGGGTAGAGGGGGGAAGTCTCTTGGGGAAGGTGCTTGACTTGTGGGAAGGCACGGAAGAATGATGGCACAATGCTATCTGTTAATCCTACTTAAACCAGAAAATAGTGGAGATCTAATGTTCAGAGAGTTCTATATTCTGGATAAATGGAAAATTATTTATATCTACTTTGAATAGTTCCATAAGGGGTTTTAAATACAGGATTCAAACAACAATTTTTAGTTATCAAAATAAGATCAGAGCAGCTCCATTTCCAAGTGAGGCCAGAGATATGCGGTCCCCCTTCATTCAAAGGATGACCAAGGGTAGATGTCAGACAGCTTGGTAATAACAGTCCCTCTGATTGTTAGTTATGGATTTGGTACAGAAAATTCTATTTGAAAAATCTGTGGGCCTTTAAAAATATCAAGTGCATTGCCAAACCTAATTATTACTATGTCTCATTACTTGTCTCCTCCGTCTCTTTGTTGATGAAGGGTTTACCTCCCTCTACCTCTCATACTGTTCCAATTTTTCTGAAGCTTCAGAAGAAAACTTCATTCTAAAATTTATTTCCCAAAGTCTTCCTGTTCCCTTTCCTTTAATGTGGCATCACCTATGTGACATTGTTATTCATATTTACATCCAACTAAGAACCTCTTTGCTTCAAACCCTTTTTTCATATTACCTTGAGGCTGTTTGTTACCAGCATCTGGGTGAGAAGTGTCTTTAAATACCATATTTAGATGAGAATTAGCTGGTGAAGGGCTGTGGGGAGGGCTCAGTTTGTAAAGTGGTAAGTGTGCAAGCATGAGGACTTGAGTTCAGATCCCCAGAACCAATGGAGAAGTTGCATGTGGCTGAGATGATGGAAAGAGGTTCTTGGAGGACTCCTCCTCTGTGTGTGTGTGTGTGTGTGTGTGTGTGTGTGTGTGTGTGTGTGTGTGTGAACCCACATATACATGCCTGTGTTGGCTAGTTTTATGTCAGCTTGACTCAAGCTAGAGTCTTTTGGGAAGAGGGACTTTCAATTGACAATATGCCTCCATAAGACTGTCTTGTGGTGCATTTTCTTAATTAGTGATCAATGTGGGAAGTTCCAGCCCATTGTAGGTGGTATCATCTCTGGACTGGTGGTCCTGGGTGTTATAAAAAAGCCAACTGAGCAAGCCGTGGTGAGCAAGGCAGTGAGCAGCATTCCTCCATGGTCTGTGTATCAGCTCCAGGTTACTGCCCTGTTTGAGGTCCTGTCCTGCCTTCCCTCTGTGATGTGGAACTGTGAGCTGAAAAACATCTTATCCTTACCAAGTGCTTTCAGTCCTGGTGTTTGAGCATAGCAGTAGAAATGCTAAGATAATACACATGCGTGTGTAACAACAATAATTAAAGAAGGATCATAATTTTGGGAGAAGGGAACAGAAGAGGAGTTGAGAGGTGAGGGATGGGTGGTAATGACATAGAAGAAGTATTCATATGTCAGTGAATGAGGATATCGAGCACTGATCTCCAATTCCACATGTACACACACATGTGCACACACACACACACACACACTCAAACACTCACACATACTCACACACTCACACGGTATATCTAGTGATCTGTCTAATCAGATTTGATACTTAAATTGTATCTGTCACTAGCATGCTGGATACTTGAAGGAGCAGTCAGAGGTAAAGAAATAAGATATTTTTGTCACTCCAAGTTTGCTCTGACTTAGTCTTATGAAATATTGAGAAACCCATGGGCTCTCTTGATAAGTATACCAGTGCCAGGCACACTGTTTTCTGATACTGTGTTCCAGGTGAATGAAATAAGCAAGCCAAGTTCACATATATGTTCATACATGTGCACACCTATCTCAAAAGTCCACATACCTGTCCTTTAAAGTGCATACACATTCCTACAGTCAACATACCTGTTCATACAGGAGCACACACATCTCCAAAGTGGATATACCTGTTCATAAAAGTGCAGATACATGTCCAAAAGTTCAAACACATGCTCATACAAGTACACATACATCTCCAATGTCAACATACCTGTTCATTGAACTGCACATACATCTCAAAGTCAACATACATGCTCATACAAGTGCACATACACTGCCAGAGACAACACACCTATTCATACAAGTGTATACATATCTTCAAAGTCAACATACCTGTTCATAAAAGTGCAGATACTTCTCCAAAGTCAATATACTTGTTCATACAAGTACACATACTTCCCCAACGTTCACATACCTGTTCATACAAGGACACATAGATCTCCTAAGAAGAGTATTTGACTTCAGCTAAACTTCCCTCAATTCATTATCATTCTTACTTCACCATTTTTTCTTTTTACTGTATGATCCACTTCTTGAATGTTGTTAAAAATTGATATACAACATTTAACCTATCAGGATGGAAATTTTTACTTTAATATTTAAAGAGAATTCTCAGTATGGTTATAACAGCATGGGGAACACAATGACTGATAAGTGAACATAAGAAATTATCAAATTATCTTTCTTAAGGTCTAGAATTATGTTCTTGGAACTATGGCCTGGCTCCCTAGTCCTATAGCAGCCTGCTTGTTAAACACCACATGTATAACTTGCAGCCCGTCTATCACATACTATTATTATTGGAAGTGCTGAGTCAGAATTTCAGACTTGCTCTTATTTAAGATAGCAGTTCCATGTTCCCTGACATGCTGCGCTTTTACCCGATCCTCACATATTTCATGAGGAATAAAGTACAGACAGTGGAAAGTGTGGCTGGAAGGCTGAGCTCACAGATCCTGTGTGTACCTGCACAGAAAGATCTCTCTGCTCCACTGAGTTCCTGTGACTGTGGATTCCAGAGAGAAAAGTGTGCAAGAAGTTACAAGATGTACTGTGCTCAGTAGGAAAGATGGCGTAGGTGATTCAAATCAGAAGGAAGACTGGTATCCACCAGTTCCCCAGCTGAGGTGTGATAGCTCTCGCTTAGGGTTGAAAACACTTTCATAGAAAATCCAGTTTCACGTGGAATGCTTGCATGAGTACTTTATTGTTAGTTTCTCTGAGGAACAAAATCAACGCTGTGATGTGACTGGTGCTGTGATTCAGTGGAGTGGAGGTGTCAGCAGTAGGAAGGCGTCACTATGGTCTCAGAATGTCAGGACAGTGCGGATACTGAAATATGAAACATAAGATGTTGTTTGCACATGTGAGTGAATAAAGCATGTGTCACAAGTCTCAATAAAAATCCATCCAAGTTCCCAACCATTCCATGCCCGTCCCTGTGACGAGGGTGAATTGGCAGTCCACCTTCTTCTGATCTTTCATGCCTTCTCTTGCTCTAAACTCACGCAGAACATCTTACTATGACTGCCATTTAGATTTTGCTTCACAGTTAGAATTCTTAAATAATATAAAGCCTGCAAGCCTGGTGTAAGACCTGCCACAGTGAACAATAATATTTATTTTTGCTATTTACCACAGAGTTTGTTGAAACTTTTTAGTCTTTGTTTCATTTAAACTTCATTCTGAACAGCAGCACTATAAGGTAGGCTATCATATTTTCTCCATTTGAGAACTGTGAAAACTGAGGCTTAGGTTTGTAAATTGCCCAAACTCACACATCTGTGTGTAGAGCCTGAACTGGTGACAGAAGCCAGGGACCCCATATTTGTTCTTGTCCCCATTTCTACTTATTTTCTGTGAACCATTTCTCCTGTCATTAAAATGATATTTTTTAGCTGGGCTTTGGTGGCTTTTATCCCAGCACTTGGGAGGCAGAGGCAGGCGGATCTCTATGAATTTGAGGCCAGCCTGGTGTACAGAGCGAGTTCCAGGAAAGACTTCAAGGCAATACAGAGAAACCCTGTCTTGAAAAACCAAAAATGATAATGATAATAATAATAATAATAATAATAATAATAATAATAATATTTCCCCTACCCATCAACTATAAATATATTGTTAAAGCTTACCTCTTTCCTGCACGAAGCAGATCGAATGCTTCATTTATTTTTTCAAAAGGTAAAACATGGGTGATTAATGGTTCCAGTGGAAACTTCTTAGCCATAAAGTCAGCCACAAGTTTGGGGACGGCATCTTTACTCTTATACCCTGGAAGGAGAGCAGCATCACTGTGAGATGCACTCACTGCAGGCAGGGGAGTTAGACAGGAGACTTCCCAAGGCACCAAAGGTCCTAAAAGTGCAGAAGTCTAGAGGCTCCAACTCCTCCTGCCCTGCACCAACATTCTCATGATGTCACCTGACACGCAGGGCCTCTGGCCAATGAGGGCCGCTTATTAGTTCTTCCAAGGGAAATTACATTGTGGATGTTTGTACTCAGAGGAAGGGAGCTGTCCAGATTCAGGTAATGAGCACAGGCATAAACTCTGCCTGCATCCTATGAGGCATTTTGGGGCCTCTCAAAGACACAAGAGGATGCAGGCAGAAAAGCCCTGGCTGGTTTGTGGGGACAGAGAAGCCTGTCTTGGGATTTCCTGACTCAGCTCTTGCTGTAGAGAGAACAGTGATTTTCATGTTTTTAAACCATGTTGCCTTCTAATATGTGAACCTTTCTGTTACAAAATTGAAGAAATACCAAAGTAAGTTAAAATTTTGACACTCAAAGGTAGGATGACGGCTCAGTGAATGAAGTTCTTTTTTTGTTTTCTGACACAATATTTTTATTGATTATCTGGGATTTCACATAATGCACCTGATTACATTCACCTCCCAGGTTTACTACCCAATGCTTTTAACAACACCAGAGATGGGGGAAAATATACCAAATCCAATTTGTGTTGCCCATATACTCACTGTGGTGTGGTAACTCCCAGTGGCCAGACCCTTAAGAAAATTGAGTCTTTTCCCACCTCCACCCAATCAGAAGAGACCAACTGTGAAATGCTACACTTCATCATCCCTTGCACAATTTTTAAGAGTTCTCTTCAATAACTTCCAATCTCTGGGAGGTTTTGTTTTCCTTTTCTTTTTTTCTTTTTTTGTCGAGTTGGGGGTGGGATTGTCACAGAACTGAGTTTATTCTCCAGAATAAAAAACAAAACAAACAAAAAATAGTAAGTATTAACATCTGATTCAGTGCTGGGGAGCTTGTAATTCCAAGTCTGGAGAGAAGAACTGGTAGATTCCTGGGACTGGCTGGCCAGGACATATAGCCTGACTGTGAGCCTCAGGCCACTGTGGCCCCCTGTCTCAAGGAACAAGGTAGATGGCTCCCAAGTAAGGACATCAAATGTCCTGTGACCTCCAAACACATCCACATGCCCACCCTGACAGAAGACAAGCAGAACTTGATCATTAGCTGTAAATACATACCACCAAATATTGCTCCTTTCCAGGTGCGACCCAGCAACAGCAACATGGGGTTCACCGAGAGGTTTTGGGCATTAGGAGGTACCCCCACAATGACATTTATACCACATGCTGCATGGCAGCTTAACAGGGAAGAATTCTGGAAGAAAAATAATATTAAAGTGGATTCTTTTGTGGTGTCTACTCACCATACACAATTTCATGTCATTTGAAAAAAAATGTACAGGATAATTTTGTGAATAAAAGAGTGAATGAATGAGTTTATCATTACATCTTCCTTACACACTAATGAAGAAGCAATACTCATTGAGAGCATGGAATGTCTTGTATTTCCAAGGAGAATATTGTTTCTTAATCATGTAACTCTCAGGCAATCTATGAGTAAGTTAATTCTCTTTTCATTTGTTCATTAATTACACTTTTGAAGTTAATACTCAGAACCAGAAATTTTGATGATACAGATGTAATGAGGACAGCATCAAAAGTTGTCTCTCATCCATTTGGAAAACTCCTTTGTTAATAATTCCTACTCTGGTGCTCATATCAAAAACAGTCATGCATTAGTTGGTTTTACATTTGGTTTGACGTTATTCTGTTATCTATAGAAAACTAGGAAATTTTCATATTTCACTTGATTTTTTCCTTCTAACATCTATAGAAGAAATTATTTAAATCCTCCAATATTTATGATGACTGGTCTTTTGATTTTTGACATTTAGAAAAAAAAATGTTCCAAGAACATGTGGGTATCAGACCTTTGGATCTTCAAATCAACTGACATCCCCAGTTTAAGATGAGTAAATAGGGAAAACAGAGTGAATCATAGAAGAGTTATGGCCCTGGGAAAAGCCAGAACCCTTAGCTTGGAAGGACTCTCTGTCCAAAGAGGAGATGCTATCCTTTCGTGGATCTATCATTTGTCGTATCTTCTCTCAATTCAAGATTGATAAAAGGGTCACTCTCAGGGTACCACAGACATTCTCTGTCACCAACTCTGCTAGGGCTTTTTGGATAACCTCAGTAATGGTGATTTGTTAGGTCTATAGGTCATATCTCTAGAATTCTAGAGGTCTCTTTTTGGGTGACATGTAACTGGAGCAGTATTCTTTAGCAATGGATGGCATTTAAAATATTTGAAAGTAGTACCACATGTATCTCAAAAATACAAGCACAGTAAGTTTAGCAATAGTATTTCTTATCATTATCCCCAGCCCACCTTAACTTAGTGGTTACCACATTTCAGGTGGATCCATGGTAAATATGGTATATGTACTATGCCATGTAGATCACAAACTTAATTACAAAATGTATATCTCTTCAATTAAGAGGTATGGCAGAATCTGGGAATTCATAATAGAAGGTATGTACTCCAACATGTATATGTGAATTTCCTGCAGGTGCTCAGCACTGTGCGGTCTCTGTGTTGAAACATGGTGTTCTATTGAAGAAGTCACTCCTCTACATGTTATGCTAATATTATAATAATTGGCCCAAATAATTCATTATTCCTTTTGTCCATACAATGAAACTTGAAAATGCTTGTTTAAATATTTAATTTCAAATATTAAATAATATTAAGAATGTGGAAGGAAATAATATTTGTCAACTTAAGACCAGAAATTGTGTTTAAGTTTGCTTGATGAATTGATTTTGACTGAAAAGGCTCCATTGAAAATGTTTCTCTGTTACAGGAGGAGAATTACTTGACAAAAGTTTGTAGTACTAACAAAAAGAGTTTATCAAATCAGAAATAAGAAATTTGAGTAGCAAACAGAACATGAGCCTTTGCCATTCAAAAATAGCTTTCTGCAGCAGATTTCTATTTTGCTGTCCAGAGAATATTATAGATGGCAGAAGGACAGATCTCAAGGTATGCCACAGTACCTACCATGGTGTCAAGCCGACCAATTACTTCAAAGGAAAAGTCCACCCCTCCATCGGTCATTTCCTGGAGCACCTCCTCAATGGGTTTGTTGTAGTCTAGAGGGTTGATGCACTCAGTTGCACCCAATTCTTTGGCCTTTGCAAACTTGTCTTTGTTGATGTCCACAGCAATGATCCTGGCTGCTCCAGCTGTTTTACAGCCAATGATGACAGACAGACCGACACCTCCAAGGCCAAACACAGCACAGCTGGATCCTGGGGTCACCTGTGTTTTCAGAAAATACAAAGATGGATGAAACAGTGATTTGTAGAAAGTGCTCCAGGGTGCGCAGGCACCTTCCTTTGTCCTCTCTCATGGCTACTCAGACTTCATTCCATCTGCTGGTGAAACCTCTTCTGGTGACAGTTGCCCGAAGTTGTCCATCATTGCTTCTCAAAATTTGCTCAATATTAGCCATATCTGGAGAAGTTTCCCCTCCCCTTCATGATCCAGTAACAGCCTCTACCAGTTAATTCAATTCTCTGCAGGAGAAAGCCCATTTCTATTCTAATGGGGAACCCCAGTTAAGATCAGCTGTAGTGAATGATCTTTGAATCCAACACAGAAATGGCTTTAATCTCTAAGAGCCACTCAATAACATCTTATACATACACAAAAGCAAATTGTATAAATGAAACAAATGATCAAGGTTACTCCAAGAGGCTACAGTATAATCAATCCAACTATCCATCCATCATGAACTCCTTGGGTCACTAACTGTCAGTTGTCACAAGCAGGGTAATTAGAGCAGAAGAAGGCTAGGCAGCATTGAGAAGTCATTCCTGACTTAAAGTATCAGGAATGTATTTATGAAAATTAGAGGAAATGCAGCATGGGCCAACATAATCTCTGGGGGACTTCAAGGACAAATTTTTAAAGAAGCAAATGAAAAGTACTGAAACAAATTTTCCCTTAGTGGTGTCTATTTCAATATTCATCCATCAAATGTTCTTAAATGCTGTGGGGCACATAACTACATTCTACCTTGCTAAGAAACAAGCAAGGCTTTTAATTGTGATGGAAGCAATAGACATAACATACTCTAGTTTCAGACTCAGCACACAATTTGAGAGAAGTTCTAATCTCTCCTTACTAACAGCAAGCAACCAAAATTTAGGTAAACAGCTTCATCTTAGTGGATTTACTTTCATAAAATCAAAGCCAATGATAGATGTTGCAACCACTGGGAAGAAAACTATTTTTAAAAATTATCGCCTAAAATTATTGCCTCTAGTGAGTATGTGCTTGTGTACTTGTATGTGTGCATATCTGTGTAGTTTTGTCAGCAGGGAAGAAGAACAGGGATGAGGTATTGAATGTAAGAAATGCTTTGCTAAACTCTCTTGTGTCTTCTAGGACCCACTCAGTGGTGGCCCTGGTCCAGGTCTATGGAGTGAGGCTGGGAGAGAGCAAACTGCATCAGTACCTAACAGAATCCATCATGACTGCTACAACAGAGTGTTGTGTCTTTCCAACTATAGAATGAGTGACTGTATGTGTTCCCAGATCTAAAATATGGTGGTGACATAGAAAATAAATATAGAATGTAGTTATTGAACATGAAACATTTACCTTCTCTTAAATCACTATCACCACAATTTTCAGTATGTGTTCAAATTCCTCTTGGGCTTATTTTCTATTAATAATTTAATCAATACCATATACCTGTGAAAATGACATAGGAGAATCCTAGAGTAATAGACCAATGTTTTAAAGGCTCTGCTAACAAATTGCTTAGGAAATAATACGTCACACAAAGTAGAGTTTAGCTAAAGGATTAATGTATTTAACACTACCATAGATAGTCCACTAAGCAGCTGTGTCAGAAACTATAGGGAAAGGTGTACCTCTTGCACAATTAAAGTCTAGGTTTTCTGGGGAAATGTTTCTGTTAAGGTTTGTTCACAATCCTCCTGCCAAAGGAGACACCCCTGGCCACAGCTGGCTGTCAACAAAGATGGTGCCTCATCCAGGTGTTCTTTGAAGGGACATCAGGCAGTTCAGAGAGGCTGCACAGGTCACAGTGCCACTAAGTCCTGGTTCATCACTAAGCCTGGGTTTCTTTTCAGGAAAGTATCACCATTCAGGCAGACTGGCTTTAGGTAACAATGTTGGTCTATATTTTTAAAAACCAGCATTGGACCAAACCAAGTCCCCTGAGTGTGGGTGCCAATTAGGAGGCCTGGTCAATCTATGGGGCCTCTGATTGTGGATCAGTATTTATCCTTATTGCAAGAATGTACATTGGGAGCCCATTCCCTATGTAGAGATACTCTCTCAGCACAGATACATGGGGGAGTGCCTAGGCCTTCCCCGAAATGATGTGACAGACATGGATGATCCCCATGGAAGGCCTGACCCTCCATGGGGGAGTGGATGAGGTGTGGGATGGTGGGGATCAGTGGGGGGCTTGGGAAGATTCTAGGGAGAGCGAACTGGGAGTGATATGTAAAATAAGATTGTTTCAAAAAATAAAAATAAAAGTCTCCTTTGCCACACAGTTCTTCCCACTTGGGCTCTCTTTAGAGATAGCAACGATGGCATCGCCACTTTATCAACCTACCATACATCCCAGATGACCAAGATTGACAGTTTCTGACTCTTTAAAAAAACACCTTTAGTTGCTCAAAGTGTATCTTGGGACTGAGACATAACAGAGCATTGCAGACTACAGCATATGTAAAATGTTACTGCTCAAGATCTATGTCTCACATAATTTCTATGAGAGAACAGCTTCTCTTTGAACTATGGAGACTGGGTGCATACTATTACAGAGCGTTTCTTGAGTGTGTGAAGTGAATTCTCACTGGAGTTGGTGTAGTGAGATGGTCCTTCTGTGGCACTGATCACGCCCATTGGGGGGGTTGAGCCATGGGCGGAAGTGACCTGTGGAAGGAGGTCAGAGGAAGAGCCGGGGAAAGCTCTCTTGCTGGCATGAATAGGACAGGAGAGCATCCGGTGGAATTTCCTGGTGTTCATCTGTCTAGGTTGTAAGTTATTTCTCCCTGAATAAGCATCTACCCAGCCTATTTGTTTATCCTGATCCTTATTTAACAGCAATATCTGGTGTCAGAAGTGGGATTAGGATTTTTAGGGGACCTGTGTTTCACCCAGGCGACAGACGCCTCTCCCCTCCCCCACCATCCCCAACAGGCAGGGTCCCTTGACTAACCAGGTGGACTCACCACAACTTTGGCACATTTGCCGCTTCCTTACGGTAAAGGAGATCTTTGCCGCCAAAGCAGGCCTGAGAAGGCACTCACTGCTTCTCATTTTTTGCCCATTTCTGCACTGCACTTTGCATTCGCCCAGAGGCGCTTGGCACCCTCCCTGCTTGTACATTTTCCCGCAGTTAGCCCTGCAGTCCCGGCTATTTGACAAGACTCCTTTTACTCATTTGTCTAACAAAATTTCGCTTGCCATAATTTGCAGAACCGGGATCAAATGGGTCCTCTTTGGCAGGATGCCATTTGGTGGTACACTTCCGGGCACAACCGGGATCAGATGGGCCTCAGCGGCTAGACGCTATTTGGTGGTACATCTCCAGGTGTAACTACCACAAGCTGAGATCTACAACTAAAAGCATCAAAGTTCCAGGACAGCAGAATTACACCTAAGGTAATTGTAACATCCTTTGCAATTTAAGCTGATATAATATCTGAGATCAATTGTTCCATAACTATAGCAAATAATTTTACAATGCAGGACTTTAGGAATTATTTTACTTCATATATAGAAGGGATTTTAACAGAAGAAACTTATGACTGGACCAATAAGTACTTTTATTTTATAATAGCAATGGGCTTTATCATTAACATGATATTCTTAAAGAAATGGTTTGAGATTACAGCAAACAATAAGGAACTTGTACAAACCATAGGAGACTTAGTAACAAGGATTCAAAACATTGAAAATGATAGAATTCAAAGCATAGAAAGTATAGAAAGAAAGGTTCAGAATATTGAAGATGGCATTGGAGAGTTGACAGGTAGAATACAAACCGTGGAACATGAAAATGACCAAGTAAAAAACAGAATTTGTTTCATGTCAGATACCTCAATAACCAGAAGAGAAACAATGCAATGCATTAACATGCTAGCAGAAACAGCTCATTCCTGGTTGGAGGAAGCTACTAATAAGTTTAAAAACTGGAACATCAGATAGAAAGACTAGATGATAGAATCTCTTCCATGTCTGAGGATGATGGCAAGCTAGCAGATAGAACATTGTTTCGAGAAGGCAGTTTACATGCCATTCAGATAATTTCTAAGGATGAGAAGATTACAAGCATGGAATCATTTGTAGCTGGAGAAAGTAAGAAACTGACTGATGCAATGAAGGCTCTAGAAAGTTATTTGATTCAAGAAGTTTGACACTCAAAGAAACAATGGTGAATAGATTTCAGGCTTTAGAAGACCTTCAGTCTGATACATCAGAAGAAGAACTACAGGTTAACAGGGCATGAAAAAGACTTAAAATTTTCAACACCATTTAGGGTCAGGGGAGCTTTCCCTGTATCTATTAATGAAAACCAGCAACGAAAAAACACCCAAAAGGTGTCATTGCATATCAGTGGGAACCAATAAGTATGAAAGATTTAAAAGGTATAAAGGAAGCTGTAGTCTCTTATGGCATGCACTCACCATATGTGAAGCAATTAGTAGAATCATGGGCAAGGATTAACAAGGTAACCCCTAAGGATTGGGATCAATTAATATCAGCTGTCCTTGAAAACTCCTCTCAATTAGAATGGAGGGTTTTATGGAGAGAGGAAGCAAAAGCTCTTGAACTTCAGAGCTTAAAGAAAGGTTATAAAGCTCCCCAAGATAAAATTCTTGGTGAGGGTCTCTATGCTGACCCAGAAACCCAAGCTGCCTATGATGAACATATCTTGTCTCTATGCAGTACAGCAGCTCTGAATGCTTGGGATAAGGTTCATGAATTAGGAGAGAGGATAGAACCCTATACCAAGATAAGGCAATGACCTAGAGAACGCTTTAGTGTCTTTCTAGAAAGATTTTCTAGGGCAGTACAATTAGAGGTAGCAGACATAGATTCTAGGCGAATACTCATAGAATCTTTAGCTTATGAGAATGTGAATCCTCAATGCAAACAGGTGCTGTGGCCTTTAAAATTGCGGTCAGCACCCTTGGATAAATGGGTCCTATATACAGGCAACATTGAGTATAATGACAATAAGACTGAAGCATGGGTAGGAGAAGCCA